GATGATGGATCTTTCACACCGGTGTGTGGTAGACTAGAGAGAAATCAAAAAGAAACATAGGAAACCAGAAGAACTTTGAGTTTTAGGCCCTCCTAACTTCACAGTGAGCCCCAGAGTCACTGTAGCCTGGAAGAGCATAGGAGCAGCTAGGAGAGCAGGGATTTGAAAATGGGTCTTTCTGATTTGAATTTCTCTAATGTTTTTCACTACTATTAATGTTAAATATGAGTAATATAGTTTCCTTCTAAAGGAAAAAAATTATGAATCCCAGTAGTGGCTTTAATTATTTTATTAAGGTGTTTTAAATTTTTATATAGAGCCACATGCAAAATAAAAGTAAATTAATGAACAAAATAGAAACAAAACTATAAAAGCAACAAAACTAATTAACAAATTGTGGATGATGGGAGATATTATTTTGCTGAAACCACCTCAATTTTCTTTGCAAAGTGGATGCATTGTTGTCTGCCCTGACACAAGTGTGCAGTTTTCTGTGTAGTGTTTGTCCTAAGAAGACTTGAGTCTTACACCACCTTTTTGTACTAGAACACTGCAGAGCTTTTCTTCTTAAATCACAAGTTAAATAGTTTGGCTTGCATTTAGCATAATTTCCTTGTCTATGTCTTTTTCTTCAGCCTGTCATAATGCTTTTACTGATTTTGGATATGTGATGCTTGCCCAGATGATCCAGAGTGTACTTTAAAATTACATTATTGCAGTGAAAATACAAATTTCTCAAGGGTTTCCCAGAACTCATAGTTTATGGTCTACTGCCACCAGTTGAGTTTATGTATGTAATTCTATACCTGGTTTTTGAGTTGTTGATGTTTGATGTTAGAAACCAAAGCTGAAATTTAAATGGCATGTAATTAACCAATTAATGCTGATGGTAAGCTCTAGGCATAGAAGTGCCTGGACACTTTTAATTATTTTTCTAAACTTCTCACAAATTATTTATCTGTAATCCAGTGCCAGATCACCACTTCCAATTATGCACCAAAATGTTTGTCCACGTAGGTTGGTCTCCTACAGCAGTGTTTCCACAATGGTAATAGTTCAAAAGAAATTCTTTTTAAAAATGTAAAAACATGAAGCCAGGTGTGGTGGCACATGTCTGTAATCCCAGCCCTGGAAAGCTGAGGCAGGAAGATTGCTGCAAGTTTAAGGCCAGTCTGGGTACATAGTGAATTCAAAGCCAGTCTGGGCTACATAGTGAGACCCTGTCTCAAAACAAAAAAACAACCAGCATGGAGCATGTGTTCTGTTTACCTTAGATGTTTTATATTTTACTTGTTTTTTATTGTTACCGTCTTACATCAGCTTTCTGTATTGCCCCATAGACTAACTGATCTGTCTGCATCCAGTCTAATTTAATACTGAGGATGAGGTTACTTCTCCCAAAGCACTGAAGTGATCACATCATGCATCTGTTGATTTGCAGACTATTTCAGGACAAGATCTTTGACTGATTTCCTAGACTTCCACAAAGTTAAGATACAGTAAATGTTTATGAGTTAAATGACTGATGAAAATAATCTAGTTGAAAACTAGGAAACCCTTGTGAGTTTTATTTATTTTACTGTATTTTTTACACTGCTGGGGATTGGAGGGCCCCATGTGGTATGCAAGTACTATACTGTCTCCCAGCCCTAACTTGTAGATTCTTAGATGGAGTATAATTGCAGAAGATACTGTTTAAAAACTGAATCTGAGAGTTGAAAACTTACTTGAAAAGAATTTCTCAGCTTATTAGTTGACCGGAGCCGCGGGAGACAGGAGACCAAACTCGAGCAGGATCAGCTCTCAAACTTTATTACGTACAGCGAACCGGACCTAACAAGGTCCGCCACCCTCAACGTTGGTTCCTCTTCCGCCGTTGGGGGCAGGAACAACCTCTTATAAGGGGAAGCAGTATCCAATCACAGAGAAGCGCGCCTAACAAGCTGATAGGCTAGCGTCACGGGTAACTGGGCAGATATGACAATTTGGCGGGCTTGTTCAGGCCGGGAAGAACCCGGAAGCAGGAAATGGGCGCCATTCATAGGCGGCTTCCCACATCTCCCCCTTTTTTATTTATTAAAATAGGATGGTCTGTGGGTCCCTCCAAGGTGTCTATGACCTTGTTGCTGTTAGACACCTAGGAGTGGGCCTACCTTGTAGGCCGAGGCATGAGAGAATGTAGAGGTCTATACCCTGCTGTGCATCACCCTGTTTTGTGCATATCCTTGCGCCAGGACCATGCTCAAGGTGAGTGGTTCATTTTTTCGCAGGGCCAGGCTTTTGTGAACTGAACCTGGATGCATATAGACATTCATTCCTGCCTTCCCCCCAACCTTTGGGGCGGATGGCACTGCAGTACCCTTGGTCTCGCATCTCAATGCCAATAATTTGGCTCCAGGAGGGACCCCTGGCCTTATAGGCCATATATATCTGAGTGGAGCCTGTCTTAGGTTGACTGGGAGGGCTTTTCCCGTCTTACCCGTCATTGGCTTGCCCACTCAGCTCTTATAGCTGATGTTCTGCAATGTGAAGGAGATATGCGGCGGCCTGCTGGCCTGATGGGCCACCTGCTGCCATTTGCATGGCTGCCATAGCTGTGATCTTAACCTGCTGCTGAGTTTGTATGAGGCGATCTAACAAGCATTTAATAACCACAAGCTCTACTAGGATAGCCATGGCAATTAGCATAATCAAGGACTGTTTGATTGATGGTGTAAACCCTGGGTGAGGCGGGCGAGGCCGCCGAAAAAGGTGCCAATGTGGGCGGGTAGTGCCAAGGACCCCAAAGATATTGTGGTGGTTCTGTGGAATCTGAGCATATCACAGGGGTGATTAATAGGAACCCACAGAATAGAAAAAGCTCCAAACCAGACATTTTAGTTTGTAGATGGTCTTGGGCGCTGAGCGTCGGTCCCAGAAGGGTCGAGTTGACTTGTGTCCGCGGGCTTATCTTCCTGTGCTTTATCAGGAACTGGTGGGGAGTTTACTGCTCGCGTCAATCTTTCCGGGACCCACAGCGGTTCGCAGCCTGGTTCCTGTGGGAAGACACAAACCGCACCTCGGGTCCAACTAACCACTGGATCCGGGCCCATCCATTGTCCTGTAAGGACATCTTTCCATCTCACCAGCCCTTTGTCGGCCGGGGACGGGTTATTGTGCTCCATGGCAGGGGAATGATTATTGTGATTAAGATTTAAAAAATTTATGGTAAAGAGTGCCAATGATATTCTTCCTTTGGGCGTTAGGCCGTGGCCACCCAATTCACGGCACAGGCGTGTCCACTCTTCTAAGGACCTATTTTTGTTAGTTCTTAGGACATCACGGCACTCCTTAGTGCACTGTTCAAAAATCAATTGTTTTATGAGAGGGTGAGCCGCCTCAGCATCTGGAAAAATCCTGTTAGCGGCCTCAAGCATGCGGGCCACAAAGTCTGAAAATGGCTCTCCCTGCCCTTGTATAATTTTTGTAAGGTGACCCATATGTTCTCCCTTTCCAGCCAGCCGTCTCCAGGCCTGGAGGCCACAGCGTCTAATTTGTTCATAAACCTGGCGAGGGTATTGAGTTTCTTCCTCAAAGGCTCCTCGCCCTAATAGCATATCCCTGTTCCACTCTCTCTGGTTATTTTCCCTGTTGGCTGCCGCCTGCTCTACACAGAATTCCTCATTCCAGGACTTCCAATCTAAATATTGTCCGGGGGAGAGGCAGGCGCGTGCCAGCTGGGTCCAATCTCCAGGAGTTAAAAGCAGACCTGCCAATGCCTCTAAAAGCGCCATGGTAAATGGCGCATTGGGCCCATAAGCTGAAACTGCGTCCTTGATAGTTTTAAGTTGTTTAATTTCTAAGGGCTCCTCCTCCCTCCCCAGATGGGGGCGCAGAAGGCAACCCAGGAAGTAGCTCTCCCTCTAACCAGGGCGGTGCCATAGGTTGTGGTGGCAGCCCAGGGAGCAACTCCTCTTCCGGCCACCTCGGTGCTATCTTCCCGAGCCCTGAATTCGCGAACTTGCCAAAGGGCGGAAGGGCTTAGTGGGGCCTGGCGCCCTGAAGGGGGTGATCGTGGGTCGCGAACTTGCCAAAGGGCGGAAGGGCTTAAGGTCTTCCCGTAAGGCGGAGTAGCTCGGGCAGGGTGGTGTTTGGTTCCCCTTTTTATCTTCCCGAGCCCTAAGTTCCTCTTTTAACGGTGTAGGAGGGTCATGCTTAGCAAAGACGACCTCCTCTTCTGAGCCTTCCAAATCCGAATCAGAATTAGAGCCCTGAGGGTCCTCCGGAGACCCACAATTGGCAGTGGCTCCGGGCTCCTCTGAGCATTCCGGTCGAGCTCTATCAAAAGCCTGTCGGGCTGTATTAGCGAAGCGAAAGCAAAACAGATGCAAAGGGAAAAGAAAAGAAAAAAAAAAAACCCAGCGTCCACTCGTGTGGCGCTCAAAATCTGTTAGGTGCGTCCACCCAACCCAGGTGACCCAGTACTCACCTGTCCCGGGAACCGCTGTATCTCACGTAGCTGATCAGGGTGAAGAGAAGAGGTGCTCGCGGCCTTCCGTTGTTATTGGGCCAGGTCCTCCGTCGTACCGCAGGCGACAGCAATCGCACCTCCCGGCCGAAGAGGCACGTCGCTGAGTCTTTTACCTTTTTCCCCGTACGGGCGGCCACCAGATGACCGGAGCCGCGGGAGACAGGAGACCAAACTCGAGCAGGATCAGCTCTCAAACTTTATTACGTACAGCGAACCGGACCTAACAAGGTCCGCCACCCTCAACGTTGGTTCCTCTTCCGCCGTTGGGGGCAGGAACAACCTCTTATAAGGGGAAGCAGTATCCAATCACAGAGAAGCGCGCCTAACAAGCTGATAGGCTAGCGTCACGGGTAACTGGGCAGATATGACAATTTGGCGGGCTTGTTCAGGCCGGGAAGAACCCGGAAGCAGGAAATGGGCGCCATTCATAGGCGGCTTCCCACAATTAGTATGCTTTTTTAAAGTGCTGTGAAGTTCACAGCATTAGATAAACCTCTCCTACTCAAATAGACAAATCAAAGTTATCTTAAAGCTCAGGGAAAGTAATTCTGGAGTTTTAGGTGACACCCTACTCCTTGATTTATCCAGTTTTCAAATAGGCGCCAAAAGTTTGTTTGCCAGCTCTTTTCTAGGCCTGGTGGAAAGGGCAGAGGAATTGCTGTCCTCAGAAGGCCTGCATTCTAAGAGGTGGGCAGCTGACGCAACTTATAAGAGCTTTCTGATGGTGACAGAGGGGTGGGACAGTGTTGCTACTTTACACTGATGGGACCGGTAATGGGGTTGAGACTAATCCAGAGGTCATGAGACTTCTTCACTAATGGCCCTCATGCTTATAGGACTGTACTCTACCATGATCAGCTGGGAGGGAGAAAAACCTGTGGTTTTGGCTTCCAGGAATGCACTTTGCCATTAGAACATTTACAGTGTGAACTACAACCATCGACCTGGAGTATGCATTGTATTTTCTGGATTCTTTCCCTGCCGTGCCTTCATGGGTGATCCCTCAAACAGGTGAAGTGAACCCGAGTTCCTTAGCTCTCTTGGCTTAGCAAGAGCCTCACTTTTCACATGGTCCTCAGTGCAGTGATAGGACACATGTGCTAGGACATAGTTTCCATTCTTGCAGGGTAAAATTAGGGTGATGAGCCACAAAACTAGGTGGCCAGACCCTTTTGCTGCCATGCCCACCAGCTCCTTTTGAGAGTTCTCTTATTATTGGCTACTGTGCCCTGCATGTGACCTGAGCTGAAATAGGCAAGGGTGTCTGATCACATGACAGTTGTCTGTTCTGCCCACCAGCTTACTAGAGGTCTGAGCTCTGGAATCCAATGCTGGCTGTGTTACATAGAAACTGGCCAAACCAATCAGACCTTGTCATGTTAACAGTTTGAATTTTTCTCCTACTTCAAGAAGAGACTTCTATTCCTGTAACTTCTGATTTCTTGTAACAGGACAAATAAAAACACATGTTCTTGTAATAATAGCTTTACATCCTGTAAAGTACAAATGCACAGTGAGGAGAAACACCAAAACCATTGTCATTTTGCACATGTTAATACCTTCTCCTGTTCATCAGTAGAACAGTAAGAACTCAGGATATTAAGATATGAATGATGTTATCAACCAACTTGATCTAATTAGCACATAGAAGGTATAACTGAAATGTTTGGTAGGTGTGTAAATTTAAAATAATTATCATAGTAAGACACACATTGCCACTGATCCCACTCAAAATACTTTCCTCACTTCTAACATGCATCACTCTCCCCACTTCTGCAGCAGCTCTGGAGTCCTCTTTCATGAGTGTCTCTGCCAGGTGGGATCAACAATATGAGTGCTGCTGCCAGGCACCATCCAGTGGAAAGGCAGGCTTATAAGAACATGACAGTGTGTCTTCATCCACCGTGTGCACCAAACCTATCACTGTGCGACTTCTGGTCTGCTCCAGTCAAAATGACCATAAAAGGGAAACATTCTTAATTGATTCAGGACATCAAGGCAGCCAGCAGAGCACAACTAAAGACAAAAAAGAGGACTTCTAGAACTGCTGCAGAAAATGGTAAGAACTATCGGATAAGTGTTTTCTAATCCAGGGGGAAGGTACAGAGGGAGATTAATGGCAATGTCTTTTACTATAATCAACTTTTAAAATTGTATTATATGTATATATTTGGGGGGGGATCTTTTTGTCTTTTTGAGACAGGGTCTCACTATGCAGCTAGGCTTGCCTTGAGCTCACTTTTTAGCTCAGGCTGGTCTCAAACTTGCAATGATCCTCCTGAATCCAGAGTGCTGGGATGATAGGCCATATTTGTCATTCATGCCTCATATAGAATACTACTCAGGAGCTAGAGAATATTTGTCCTTTTCCAGTGTACATGAAATGGTCACCAAGATCAGACATGAATTCATAAATCTCATATTTCAAATGGTAGAAATGTTGCAAAGCACTATGTTCTTTGAAAATAGTAGAATTGAATTAGAAATTGATACATGATACCTAGAAAATCTCCATGTATTTAGGAGATTATATAGCACCTTCTATCATCTCTGTATCAAACATGAAATCACAAAATTAAAAAAGTATTCCAAGCATTGAATGATGATAAAAACATTGAAATTATCAAAAGGCATTTAAAATAGCTTTGGGAGAAATTTTTTATGTTAAAGGCTTACGGTAGAAATGAAAGGTTTAAAATCTAAGCCAAGGATTGGCAAACTTCTGTAAATGGCCAGAGAGCAGATACTCTAGGCTTGGCAGGTCGTAGAATCTGTCACATATAGTTGTTGCCCCCATTCAGAATGTAAGCAAACACACAGAACCATTCAGCAGGCAGGAGTAGCACAGTGGCGGCATGGGTCTGACCTGGCTGCAGCAGTAGTTGCTGAACTCAGACATACACTTTCATGTTAAGGTTCTGGAAAGAACAAACAGAACCCAAAGCAGAAAAAGGCAGGGAAAGATACCAGTCAGGTAAGGAGAACATAGACAATTGAGAAAATCAGTGATGACAAAAACAAGTCTTTGAAAAGTTCAATAAAATCAGCAAATCTGCAATCAGGCCAATAAAAAAGAAAAAGAAGACAAATTACCACTGTGAGGAGTGAGAGGATATTTGTAGATTTTAAGGTCTTTATTATGTATACCTTTATGTTATTATGTATACCTTTATGCTATTAAGTTTGACAACTTACAGGAGAGCACAAACTATCAAAGATCATTAAACTCTCCCACAAGCGAGGCATAATGACATGCATCTGTAGTCTCAGCTTGGGAGGCTGAGGCAAGAGGATCTCCTGAGCCCTTGAGTTCAGGTCTAGCTTGGGCAACATAGCAAGATTCTGCCTCAAAATGAAGAGTCCCATAAGACATTATGTCTAGATGGCATGACTGGTACGTTTTAGTGAACGTTTTGAAAGATAGAGAAACAATTCTGTATAAACTTTTCTTGAAAATTGAACAGTGCACCCCAATTTATTTTATCTTTTTTCCAAATCCATTTTATTTAAAGCAAAAATGAGGGGGGAGAACCCCACCCAGTTTATTTTACTAGAGTAGCATTGTCTTGAGGCAACCACTACAGGAAAACTGCAGGCCGGTTTCCTTCATGAACACTTCACATCCTTGAAAGTGAGACCTAACTGGAAAATAAACCATAGCATGATTTTTCAGGATGCTTACAATATAAACCCTACCCCAAAAGTAAGCTCTGGGCCCAGGGACTTAGCTCACTGGAGTTAAGTACCTGCCTGGCAAGTATGAGGTTATGAGTTTGATACCAGGTACAATCAATCAGTCAATCAAAAGCTTCGGTTAAGGTCATCAGTCAGATGGATATGTTTAATATATACATGGCAACACACAATGGACATACCGAATTATAAAATAGTAACCTATTAATACTCAAATGATAGCCTAAGTTATAATCAAATATTGGTAAACACCCAGTGGATGCCTTTGGGTGAGATGTAAATGCCCATGTAGACAGATGAGCTCGAGGCTTACTGCCAGGGGACCGTGTGGAGTGGAGACACCACATACGTGAGATGTGCATGGACATGCATGATTGTTTCTAATACGAATCTTTAGGATTCAGTACATCGTGTGTTGAAATGGTCATACATAATGTGGTGTGAAATAAACATTTTCTGAATTTTGGTGCCTGTAACTTTTTGTTACTTTTGCATGGACCATCGTTTCTTTTTTTTTAAGGCAGGATCTCACTATGCAGTACAGGCTGACCTTGAATTTACTTTGTAGCCCAGGGTGACCTTGAACTCAGGGATCCTCCAGCCTAAGGCTCTTGAGTGCTGGGATTACAGGTGTGCGTCACTATGCCTGGCTTCAAAGCACAAAAAAGGTGTATTTTTTGGGTACCCTGAATTGAACTTAGGACCTCACACTTGCCAGGCAGGTGCTTTGCCATTGAGCTCTATCCCCAGCTCTCAAAATACAAAAATTTTAAAGAGGGCTCAGTGGTATAGTGCCCATGGGTTTTATCCCCAGTACCACAAAGCACAGTAGAATTCATAAATGAGTTTAGTTGTGGTGTACATGGTCAGTTGTATGTCTGAGTTCTAATGACAGTTGGAGAAAGGGAGAATGCCATTAGTGGCAGCCTCTCTTGTAGGGGAGGCTGTGATGGCCCTTCCGTTGTAAATGTTCACTGTGTAGCAGGTGTCTTGGATGATGAGTGGCATCCCCTGTAGCTGGAAGCAGATTCGCTCCTCATTCAGTGCGCAGAGGAGATCTCCCTCTGGGCACAGGCAGCACTGCACTGTTTGGGCTCAACAGCAAAGTCAGATTCCTAGGCCTAGGGTCTTCACAGGCATGTCTCCCCAGGTCCCTTCTTGCCTGTCCCATGGGATTTGGGCTGCAGGGGTGTCACATACATGATAACAGTCCTGCTGTGCTGTGAGTTAGTCTCATCTTGGACCCAGGCCACAGTGTCGGTGTCATCATCATCTGTCAGTTTCTGTGTCAACATGAGTGGCTTATCGCCAGTTTGTGAGGAGCATGTACAGTCTCAGCCCCTGTCTGTTCTTGACTTTTGGGCATGAGGATGCAGGTGACAGGGCAAGGCTTCAAGGGCAGGCTCTTGGCCCATGTGCTAGGCCGAGGAACAGGACACAGGCATCTGGTAGCAGGTGGCATTGTCCAGGTAGACCAGGAGGGTTGAGGCAGGGGTGAAGGGGCTGCTGTTTTACCTGATGATGAATATTCAGAGGCTTAGTGGGAGGCCAGATTGAGCAGGCTGCCTGGGTGTGCTTCTACATGGCCCACTCCAAACCAATCCATGGCTGCTGCAAGGCAGTAGGGCTGTTGCTGAGTTTGGTGGCGTGGGAGCTGGCAAAATGGGGCTACAGTGAGGATAGGCAGCTCTGGGTAGACTGAAAACCTTAGACGTTTGTTAGGTTGAGCTACAGCAGTGGCTGCCTGACAGTGAAAAGGTTGCACAGTGTTGCTTCTGGTGTGAGTTCTATGTCTCTTGTGCCTCCTTGCCCTTAAGGTGACAGATCTGGCTTAGTGGGGGTGTCCCTGACCTTACAAAGGACCAAAGGCCATACCCCCTGTTTAAATGTGCTCTGAGCATCTTAGGGAGAGGGACTCTAACTTCATACTGTATTGGATGCAGGTAGTCATTTGACTCGGTGGGGTGATGCTTGGGCAGGGTTTGTCCAGGAGTGAGCTGGCGGGCACTGTGGTCAGAGCCCTTGGTTGCATACTTTCATTAGGAGTTTGCCTGCTGGACGTGTGGGTGAGTGGTATCTGCATAGGACTGTACCATGAGTGTGTTAAGTGCCAGAGAGGATGCTTCTGGTCAAGAAGAGTCACAAACAGAGAACTTCCACATAAAGAGGAATTAGGGCTTTAGCACTCAAACCTTAGTGATTCCTTTGAGCTAAAGTTATTGTGACCTGTGGTTTTGCAGTCTGTGTAAAGAAACATCTGACTCAATAGACTAAGAATCCAACACTAAAAGAAAGAACAAAAAACCTGAGACTTAAAAGAAGATATGCAAATAGACAGAATGCACATGGAAAGATGGGAATCATTACCTGGGAATTGTCGGTTGAACCATGACAAGTTGGGAGTGTGGTCATGGTAGAGCATTTGCCCAGGGCAGCTGAGACCCTGGCTTCAGTCCACAGCACAAATGAAAAGGAAGACAACCAACCAGTCATGAGGCAGCCCTTCATGTACATTAGCATGGTTCCAGTCGAAAGACCAGCAGAAAGACTGTCACACCAGTCGCTGACCATGATGTGGGATCACTGGAACTCTCACATTACTGGTGTGTGTATAAACTTGACAGCCAAGCTGGAAAATAGTTGGCAGTTTCATATAAGGTTAAAAATATACTTCCCTGGGCTGTGGGTATTGCTCAGTGGTAGTGATTGCCTGACACGCGTGAAGCCCTGGGTTTGGTTCCCAGTGCAGCAGGGGTATAGCTTATTTGGTGATCCAGCAGTTCTGCTTCTAAGTATTTATTCAGAAGAAATGCAATGGCATCCATAAAGAACTTGCATGTAAATATTCATATTGGTATTATTCTTAGGCATTCCAAACAGGAAACAAATCATATATCCATTATCAAGTGAATTTATCTACACATCATGGTGATTCAGATGGTGGAATATTATTTAACAATACAAAGAAACAGGATCAGTAAGTGTAACAGTAAGTCTTAAAAGTATGCTGAGAGAAAAAGTCCATACTGGATGATTTCTTTATGTTACAAAGTGACTGCAGTCAGAAGAAAGGATGCTTGGAATTTTGAGTGTTGCTGATTTCTCAGGCCAGTGGTCATGTGGTCTGCTACTGGGCCATGGGCCCCTCTGGGCATACACTGTGCTCTGTGTCAGTGAGCCGTGAGGTCTTGTAGCCCAGGTGTGTTAAATGTGCTTTTGCCTTATGGTGCATTTTTCACATAGGATAGGTGGATTAGATGAGCCTCACAAGCTGAGGACCTGTAAGGCACTGTTCAATGGAGGTCTAGACTGGGCGCGTCCTCTGTGGGACGTGTCAGTGCTACATGAGGCAGGACTTCAGGGCAGAGTGGACAGCCCGGGAGCAGAATTGGTGTTCCCCATTTTTGAAGAGCAGTGGTAAAAATGTAGAGGATATAATGCTGTGATTCAGTTTATTGACCTTGGCATCATGAAAATTTGAGCTTGAGTCCTGAATCCACCATTCCCTCTTATGTGACTGTGGGAAAATTATTGAACCTCAGTTTTCTTGTTTGAAGGAGGTTTGATAATGGTTCTGTCTAGTTGTAGTGATAAGTCAAACGATGTTTGTCAGGGTCATATGCGTACAATATTGATGGTTTATTTTGGCAATAGTAGTTGCCCATGCTAGTGATTATAACATGCTACTTGTGTGTATCAGTCTTTTCCATTCTCCTGCTCTGGTACTGGGGTCCACAGAGGTAAGCAAGCTCTGCACTGAATTGCATTCCCAGCCTTTGGGTTGGTTGGCTGTTAGTTTGTTTTGAGATAGGGTCTTGCTAGGTTGGTGGGGCAGGCTCCAAACTTTGAGTCCTTGGAATTAACACCCAGCATTTGTGTTACTCCTCATCTTGGAATGAGTACTGTTATTTTGCATTTAAAAAAGAGAACAGAAGAATTGCTGATTAGGTTCTTAAGGATTTTTGATGTTTTGTGAGCAAATAACTTATTTCTGTTTAGTCTGTCACAAATGTACTGTCCTAGTTTTAATCCATGATGGTAATGAAACTCACTTCTTGGTAGGAAGTTCTCCCTGCCCATTGGCTAGATGGCTCTGATGAATCTGCAGTCTGATTATTTCTGTCCTTTCCTGCCATGGGCACTGAGTGAACATTTCTTAAATAGTTCCTCTTTTGACATTTCAAATGGCTAAAGAGAATTTAAGAATCTTCTTCCCAGGTATAAACTGCTTTGGTATGAAGCGAATTGGTTAGTCTTGGACGACATAAACAGTTTGACCTGTGGTTGCCAAGATGGATTACTCTCAAAACTCCTTAACATCAAGTTGAATGTTTAATGGATTTTTGAAATAATAGTATAATACCTTAGAGGGCACTATGGGGACCTAGCTCATTGGAGATATGAAGATGTTTTTCTTTATGTTAACAGTTGAATTTTTAACTCTTTGAGTGAATGAGGAGTTTTCAAGTTTGTTAATAGAAGAGAAAAATGAAAAAGTAAGATGGTCAGGCACATAAAGATTAAAGCTTTTGTGAGAGGTGTTTATATGATGATGTGAATTACAGTGGTCTGCGTGTGGGTTGGCTTAGGGGTAATGAATAAGAATGTTTGCTTCTAATTTGGCATCTCACTTCAGACTCTCGAAGGTTGTGGGCTAAAATGGTTTTACCCAAATAAACCTTGGGAATGTTCTCCATCGATTGTTAAAATGGTTATTTCGTTATTTTTTAAAAAGAAAAACTCCATCTGTGTAGTCTCTGGTCTATTGAAGCCTGTAGTAACTCCCTCATCTTTAACTTCAGTTGCAGCTCCGGAGCGCCTTCCCGCAGGAGCACGGCCATGGAGGTGGTTCCAGCTGAGGTGAATAGCTTGCTTCCGGAGGAGATAATGGACACGGGGATAACGTTAGTGGATGAGGATAGTATTGAGGCTGTTATTGTTTCATCCCCAATCCCCATGGAGACAGAACTGGAAGAAATTGTCAACATAAACTCAACTGGTGACTCTGCGGCCACACCCATTTCCACGGAGCCCGGCTCAGTGTACAGTAACCACACTAACCAAGTTGCAGTGAACACCACAGTCCCTAAAGCAGATCCTAACACCACAATGAAACCAGCTCTTCCGAGTGGCCTTCAAAAACTTGGTGCTCAGACTCCTGTGACTATATCAGCCAATCAGATCATTTTAAACAAAGTATCACAGACATCTGATCTTAAACTTGGCAGTCAGACCCTTAAGCCAGATGGACAGAAGTTAATTTTAACAACTTTGGGCAAGTCTGGTTCACCAATTGTTTTAGCACTACCCCATAGCCAGCTGCCCCAGGCTCAGAAAGTTACAACTCAGGCTCAGTCAGGAGATGCTAAGTTGCCAGCACAGCAAATTAAAGTAGTTACCATTGGAGGGAGGCCAGAGGTGAAACCTGTCCTTGGTGTCTCAGCACTGACCCCAGGAAGCCAGCTGATTAATCCTACAACTCAGCCCTCTGTGGTTCAGACCCAACAGTTAAAAACAGTGCAGGTAAAAAACAAAAACAAAAAAAGGGAGCTTATTAATCAAAATGCATGTTTAAAAACATTAAACTGATATATGGTTGTTTGTGTAGGGTTATTAACTGCATAGCTGTTACTGAATTCTTTTGAATGTTGCCTTAAGGAATTGTGTGAAGTTTTCTGTTTTTTATGTTTGATATGTTTAATGCTTATGATGATTTTTGCCAGAAAACTTAGAACAAGTTAATTTTTGGTTAAATTCTAAACAAGTGTACTTAAAGCCTTTTATTTGTTTTAAGATCCCTTTTTAACCATGGATATCTCACTGGTATAAAGGTGAAAGACTTACTCCAGGGCTATCAAAAATGCAAGCCTAGAAAATTGTTTTGATAACAAGTGGCCCATGGCCACGGGACCTTTGCTGCTCTGGGAGGCCACTTCCTGGACATTGCATAGCATGCACTGGCCAGTAGGTCTCTGTCCATGGTTGTCACTTGTGTGTGCAGGGTGAGGGGGACAGCAGAATTGGAGGAGGGGGAGGTGCAAGTCTTCAGAGGTAGACCGGTGGGGCTCTAGTTACCCTTTGCTACTCACCAGCCGTGGAACCTTGGGCAGGTTTCTCTGTCTTCAGTGTAAGGCAGCTACTAATGGTGATTTACAGTTCTCGAAACATCGAGACTCCTTCAAAATAGTATCTGGTATTAGTATGAATAAGGCCTAAGATAGGTGGTTACCAGAATCTGCATTAAATGGGTTCCAGCCACTTGCCCTTTTTTGTGTTTTTTTTAATAGGATCTCCCTATGTAGTTCAGGCTGGCCTTGAACTTGTGATCCTCCTCCCTCAGCATCCCAAGTGCAGGGATTACAGGCAGGTGCCACTATGCCTGGCTCTCCAGGTTTTCATGCTGAAATGGTTTTCTTCGGCCATCACTAAGAAATACAGTGATCTGTTCAAGACCAGAAGGAAATAGTTTTGTGTTTGAGAGATGCCTTGCAGAGGAAAGGAAGCTGGAAGGTGGGAGTTAAGGTAGTGGAGGAAGTATGCCAGGGAGGCCTGATGAGAGCCAGCACTGTTACTGCTGGCTCACGTTTTGTTTACTGTGCAGACCGAGAATTAGAAACCTACTTTTCGTGGACTTTGCTTTTAAGAACTGTGAGGATTTCTCAGACCTTGTGGGTCGCCCATGTCCCTCTGTCACCATTATGCATACTGTTCTCTTGGTGTTCCTTGTGATTTCTTGCTTCTCTGATTTCCTTTCACTTGTTTTTGCTGAGGCTCTTGCATGAGAGCGCCTCCCTGTCAAGCATCTTGGCCCATTTTGGAAGCTTCTTTTTATTGGTTACAGAATGGCAGTGGCATGGCAGTCTTCACCATGTCATGGGAAACTGATAAATCAGAGCAACAAGGGAGAAATATCAACATGCTGCACTTACCTAATGTAACAGAAACATTTCTATTATAACGCTGTGACCAGCCCAAAAATCAGAATGTCACTGTTGCTCAGGGAATCACATGAACATACTGTTTGAATAATGGGAGTACTTGTGTCCTCCAGTTCTACTAGGCCCTTAAACTCACTGTGAGTGCTGGGATTACAGGCATATGCCAACACGCCCAGCTACAACTCTGTTTATTAAAAAACAATTACTAGTTCTAAAGATAATAAGTCAGAATCCATTGAAAATATTATTCTGCTTATCTAGTTATTTTTAGGCAACTGAAATCTTTTTTGTCTTATAAGCAACTCAAGAAGCTCTGAAGCACTTTGAAAAATCTATACAGATCTCTCTTGTCTTGTTTTAGACATCAGAAAATTTGGTTCATTCTATGGTGTATATGATTTTCTGGTATTATGTTTTGTCCTAAGTTTAATGAGAGGTTTTGGGGCTCCCTTCATCACAGAGCCAGAGCCCTGCATGGGTGCGCTCTGTGGGGAGTCCGTAGTGGCAGCTCTGGACAGGATCCTTGCTGCCACCCGAGTCTGTCTAATGCAAGGATGGACCTGACTTGCGAGGTTATTTGGTGATACCTTCTTTGTAAATTTTCTTCTTTTTTTGTTTTTGACTCACTACTGATTTGATGAACTTGTTAAGTATCCTTTATGCTTTTTTTGACTTAATAAAGTTTGTCCTAGAGTAATTGAGAATCCATAATGCAAGAAATTGTTGTTCCTTAATTGAACTGGAATTTGATAGTTTCAGCAGTATTCTACTAACGAAATACAGCCACAAGGGCAAGATGAGATTGTTCATTTGAATAATTAATGTGCTTTTGGTTATATTGTTTATATTTTTTCCTTATTGGTAGTCATATGATTGTGAAAATCTTTAAACTTTAAATCTTTATTTTTATAGCTAGGGTTGCTTTTATTAGATATATATTTCTAGTAATACCAGTATGTCTACTTGCAAAATCATTAATAGTACGTATGTAGACAGAATTCCAATTTGTATTTTCCAGCCTGTAAACAGTTGGAGAATGTTTTTCCTTTATGTCTACCTAAATTGCATCAAGTTTCTAAAGTATAACTATGAATTTATCTTGCTATCTTTGCAAGCTGGGTATTATTTAATATATGAACAGATCTCTTTCTTACAGTGATTCTTGTTTCACATATTTTATTGTGTTTTAAATATAAGAAAATAATGTATTTTGAATGTATTATAATATGCTATTTAATTTATAATTTGAGTGCAAAGAATATAATTTGAGTGCGAAGAACTAATAATTTATGATGTCTTCCAACTTCTAGTGTATTTCTGTCATTCAAGTTGATCATGTTTATTCTTTTGAGTGTACTTATTTCTGAAGTAAATACTATTTCCAAGAATTCAGTCATACTTATCAAAAGACAGAATTTAATATTCCTCATTCTAAAATTTTATGATCTTGATTATAGATAAATTTCTGTTTCTGTCTTTTGAAAGATGCTATGCCTTTGTATGTGTCAATAATTTTAATATAAAACTATTAATACCTCTCCCTTCTTTGACTTGTGGAAAATTTAGTTGAGGTCGACAGCGCACCAGTATGTAATTACAGATCAAAGATAAATAAGATAATGACAGTCTTTCCCTTTGAGGAATTTAAACAGTATTTTAGTAAATAACATTGCAGAGCCTTTGCCATTACTATGGTCTTGTTCTATCAGTCTTGTCTCTTGGCATCCTAGGACTTTTAACTGTTCTGTTTTCCCTTTATCCAGTCCTGAAATATAGATTGAAATTTTAGAATCTAATCATAAGCCTGTCTTTAGGGTATGTTTATGTTTTGCATCTAAGCTCCAGGGTAATTACACAGAGACATGGCCTTGTTGTTTACACTGTCTTAACTTTACCCGCTGTGTTATTATTGAATGATTTATTTGAAGACTATTTCTGCTTGTAGTTTTTTTATTAAACATTCAACCTTATTACTGTTAAACATTAATTTGGTTATCATTTGCATATGAGATTAAAATAACTATAATAAAATACAAAGGTACTATATATGGGCTTATGGATGTGATCATATTAATATTTTGATGACTAGCTGTATTTTAAGTGTTTTTAACGTGACGAAGATATAATCTGTTAAATGAACTGGATTTATATGTACTGCTGTGTGTGAATCTTTTGTCTAATTTTGGCTCAGTAGTTGTTTCATAGAAACAAATGTTCTTCATAGTTATTTGTGTGTTTCAGATTGCTAAGAAGCCTCGAACTCCAACCTCTGGCCCAGTAATCACGAAGCTGATCTTTGCAAAACCAATTAATAGTAAAGCAGTTACAGGACAGACAACTCAAGTATCACCACCAGTCATTGCAGGTTATGTTTCTTTATAGTTCATTAAGCTTTATATTTATGTTTTAGGTTTATAGCAGGCTGTTCTTCTCCCGTAAGTTGTTTTAGTACAAGTAAAGCTTATGATAAGCCAGACTAGTTCGTAAGAATTGTCATACTTAATGAATGAGCATTTCAGGGAAAATGCCTCCTCTCAAAATAAGCCCATTACTTTGATCTCTAGTTTTTAGTAGAAACTTACATGGAATTAGCAAATTCTTCATAATTCCAATAATACTGGTTACACTGAGATAGTATTTACTGTGTGCTATTGTTAGTTCTCTCCCTAAAGTGACTTATCTAGCTCCCTGACCCAGGAAATAAGACTCCCCATTTTGCTCATGCATAAAAGGAAGTGCTGCCTAGCCAGTGGCCATACTGGGCTTGGAACTCAAGCAGTTTGTCTCTGGAGCACTTGGATTAAGTCTAACAGTTTTAAATTCACACACATGGGAGTATATGGTATTCCATGGTTTCTGTTTGAATTTTTGGTTTCTGTATTTTAATATAGTTCTGTAGAAACAGAATTGTCACAGTGGTAGGAATTACTTAAGCAATAGCAGGGCATTCCTTTTATCAGCACACTCTTTAATGTGGCACACACACACACACACACATAAAAGTTTGGCATCACCAGTAACTATACCACCTCCAAGCTCTCGACTTAAGGTGTTCATTTTGTTTATTCATCAGCTTTTGTGCCTTTTTATACTCCCACTCTAGCAATTTTGTTACTTTGAAATCTTAGATCCATTGATTCTTCCATTTCCTTTTTATGATTGCTAATTTCTGTACTCAACAGGGATCCATGACCTGTCATTGTTGCTCCCCTGATAAATAGCCTTGGCTGTCTCTTCTGTCTCTCTGCAATGGCTTGTTTGAGACCAGTTCTCCTACACGTTGCCTGGCAAGCTGCTATCCAAGCAGTTCAGTTCTGGATTAATTTCCATTGTGCTGAGTCTTATCTGAAAGCGCTTCTGAATGGTAGACTTTGGACTAAGACTTTCAAATGCACTCTGTCCGTGAAATGTATATTCTTCACTTAGCCATGCAGATGGCTAAGTGTGGCATACATATTCAAGCTTCTTAGAAAACTAAGAACCAACCAAACAAACAAACAAAAAACCTGAAGCCAGGGCTGGCTTTAGCCCAGCAGTTCTTTCGAGTCTGGCTTCCCAACTGCCCGCAGGCGCTCTCCAGTCCTTTAAAAAAAAAAAAAAAAAAAAAAAAAAACCTGAAGCCAATTGCTGCTGTCTTAATTTTTTTTTTTTTTTTTTTTTTTTATCATTGCTACCGGTGATCAAACTCAAAACTGCGCTTCCAAGGCAGGTGCTTATGCCACTGAGCTAAATCCCCAGCCCCTTAAATTTTTTTTGTTTCTGTTTTTGTTTTTTTGAGACAAGGTCTTGCTATGTAGTTCAGGCCAGGTTTGAATTCAAATAGGTAGCCCAGGCTGACCTGAAATTCACAGTGATCTTCTTGTCGCAGCCTCCAGTGTGCTGGGATTATAGGTGTGCACAGACATGCCCGCTGTTAATAAATATATAGACATAGCAATGGGCAGCTCTGCAGTCGTTGGCAGTAATTTGTCATTTTCTTGAGGTTTGATTTTACGTGGAAGGCCAAGTAGGATGGTAAGGATGAAGATGGGAGGATGGAGGGTTGTGTTCTCTTTCTCCTTGGCCCTCAGGAGAGACTTGGAGGGCTGGCAGAGGCAGAGGTCTTGTAGGCTGTCACAGGAAGGTGGTATGGCTCTGGAGGAAAGATGACAGCATGGATGGGGGCTGGTTTGAGAAGCAGACCGCAGTTGGTGTCAAAGCGAGCAAGACTTGGGAATACTGATGGACCAGGACCACACTAGTCCCCTGGGAGGTTTGGGGCAATAGAGGAAATTAATGAACAGTAGTGTCTCAGTGCAAACATTTGTACTACTTGAGTCTAGGTTGAGTCTGGGAAATCCCTTAGAATTTCTAGTTATGTGTGGTGTATTGTGTACAAATCACTTGTGTTTATAGGAGTGTCTAAATGATTTATTTATTTATTTATTTATTTATTTTATTTTTTGTACTAGAGATTGAACCTAGAATCTCATGCATGCTGGGCAAGTGCTCTACCACTGAGTTACATCCCAGCACCAAAATGAATTTGGGATTATGTCAGAAGTCACCGTGACTATCAGGCAGTGTCACACTACACAGTGTCACTGTGTAGTCTCTGGGTCTTTTGTAATGCATTGCAGATCAATCCTAGCCTCATCTTTGGTGACACATACTTAGTAGCACAACCAAAATGCCTGATAGACATTTGTTCAATTTCTTGAGAATCATTGGCTTTAAATTCAGTTTGGAGGGATAACTTCTCCTTTTAACTAGTCCTGTGTAGCCTTTTAAAGGTGTATCAGCCCAGCCTGGTGCAGTGGCACACACCCACACTGCCAGTTGAGGCAAGGAGTCACGTGCTGCAGTCCAGCATGGGTAATTGAGTGTGAGACTGCCTCCGATTTTAGGAATTGTAGACAGGGTTGTAGCTCAGTGTGAAGGCTCAATCCTTAGTTCAGTCCTCAGTTACTATCCTCCTTCGATCATAGAAGTTAAATTATAAGCCACCAAAATATGTCCTGTTGAATCATTTAAAAAATTTATTTGTTTATTTGGTGCTGAGGATCGAACTCACGGCCTTGTACTTGCCAGGCAGGCTCTGTGCCACTGAGCTGTATCCCCATCCCCCTCCACCATTTTTATATACAAGTAAAGCTTTTCCAAAGTACACTGACTTTTTTTTTAAATGATTGGGGGCTTCCCATTGAAAACGATGTTTATCTTTAGTCAGGATAAACCTTTGTGCTGGGGGTTTAGCTCAGCAGTACAAGCACCTGCCAGGGAAGGGCCAGGTCATGATTTCGATCCCTGGTACAAAGAAAAAGATAAACCTTTGTATGTCGGTGACTTTTCTCCTACCCAAGCACTAACCAGACCCAACCCTGCTTAACTTCGGAGAACATGTAAGTGGCTTTTCTAAAATGCAGATCTGATCTTGTCATGCCTTGCTTAACATTTTATTGGCCTCCATCCATCAGGATTAAGCCCAGTGCCAGTGCATGCTTAGCATCAAAGGCATTTGTGATCTCGTGTGTACCTTTTTCACATCACCTTCCGTCAGCTCCGGGCCTTCTGAGTGGGTTTATTTTAAGAACTCACAAAATGATGACATTCGCTTAAGATGTAGGAGCTTGGCAGTTTCTTATACTTGCCATGTTTTTCCTGTGGTTAACTCATCTATTTTATCTTTAGAATTAGAAAGTTTGGCTCCTAGGTTTAGTCAAATACTTGTTTTTAACCATTTCCTATGCATTCCCGTAAAACTTGATTTTATCTGTCAAATACTTTAATTACTTACTAATTTCACACTGGCTTTTGACTTGTTCATTAACTTGCATTGTATTTTAAATACATAGCTTTCCTACCTGTCTCCCATACTCCACTTACAATTTTCTTTTCCTTTCCTTTCCTTCTTTTCTTTTGGCTTTTTGAGACAGGATTTTGCTATTGCTATGTGGTTCAGGCCATCCTTAAATTTATGATGCTTCTTCCTCAGCCTCCCACATGTGGAGATTATAGGCATGCACCACCCTGCCTGTCTGGCTTTATGATTTTTCTTTCTTTTTTGGTTTTATAGCAAAGTCTCACTATGTAGTTCAAGCTAGTCTTGAACTCATGTCAATCCTCTTGCCCCAGCCTCTGGAGTGCTGGGATTATTACGGGTGTCCACCACCATGCCCAGCAAAGAATCACTAAGTCAGCCATCATCAGAGACTACCTGAATTTTGGTTTTTTGTTTGTTTTATGGTGCTAGGCATTGAACCCAGGACCTTTTCATGATAAGCAGGTACTCCACCATGAGCTTCACTCCCAGCCCCATGGTTTTTCTTGGTGATAGTTGTTAGTTTGCTGTCTAGTTTCACTTTTCAAATTACCTAATTTATAAAAACCCTACATTTAAGTATATACAAAACAGTGGCATTAAGTATATTCACATTGTTATGCAGCCAATACCTTGTCCACCCTCAGAATTTTGCTCATCTTGCAAAGCTTGTTATAATTAAATGATGATTCCTAATACTCTCTGCCCCTAGCCCCTGGCAACCACCGTTCTACTTCCTAACTCTATTCTGTATACCCCATTCAAGTGAAATTATATAATACTTGTTTTGTGTTTACTTACCATCATGTCCATGAAGTCTGCATGGTATATAGCAGGTTGTCAGTATTTCCTTCCTTTTAAGCAGAATAATAATTATACATTTTGTGTGTATACATTATATTGATAATAGTTCTTTGTTTTATGTTTTACATACTTTCTAATGTGGTTCAGCAACTTTATATTGTTGAATGAATGTATCAGGTATGGTAAGAGCTATTGGAAGACTTGGGTTTTATTCATGGCTCTTGTGTTGATTTTCTCTGATTTTGAGCCTATAGATTACTTGTTCATCTTCTTAAAATATACGTTCCACTCACCTCTTACAGAATTTGTTGTTGCTCAGATATCCTGACTTCCACCAGAGGTTTTTGAGTGTGTTGCTTTGGATTCTAGAAGGCTCAGTGTAAAATGTATCTGCCTTGTAAATTGATTTCAAGGTGAAATAATGTGATTTGCATATTGTGTGAATCTTTGTACAAAGTCAAGGATTTGGAGGTTAGGTTAGATCATCAGAAATGCTCTTTGGAGAAAAACCAAGCAATCTTCAGAAAAAGAATACCTTGAGTTTTAAAGGCTCTTGGGAAAATTGATGAAATCTTCAAATATTTTGGCAGAAATGACCTTCAACATAATCACCTTATGCCCATCAAATAGAATTTGTCATTGTGCTGCCAGAGAGATTTTCAGGAGGCACGTCTCTGCTCCCTAAATTAACAATTGCTTTGCTTTGCTCATTCTAAAAGTGCATTTTTAAAAAAAAAAATACCAACCAAAAGAAGTGAAATTTTTACTTTAAATTTTCTATTAATGATGAAGTATTTGTCCCTGTTTTAAGTAAGTTTACATTAAATGACCTTTTCCTGGTATTAATTATACTCAGGAGCTGAAGATTTTCTATAAGAATATCTTTTGAAAGGTATATAATACCTGAAAAGTATGAAATTATAGTGATAACTATAAACAGCATTTTAAAAAGCTATTTGGAACAATAGTTTCTTTCTGTCTTTCTTTCTTTTTTTTTTTTTGAGATAGGCTCTCACTATACAGTTCAGGCTGGCCTTCAGCTCACTTAATAGACCAAATAATCCTGCCTCAGGCTCTGAGTGCTAGGATTACAGGCATGCGCAACCACGCCTGGTTTGGACAGTAGTTTAACAATGTTGTTAGGGTTGTATCTCAGTTATTAGCTTTGGAAACTAGAAGAGACAAACATGTTACTTTGAGCAGCCCCAACACTTTAGGGTCACTTTCTGAAAACGTGTACTGAGGATTCATGTAGTTTGCATGGAATTGTCTTCATTTAGTTGTGATGTGATTCAGGTTAAAAAGAAACTCAGCAGAACATTAGATTGAGATCCACTGATGAACATGTCAGTTAATTTTGCATTACAATTTGAAAATTATGTTTAAAATATTTTTAAAATTCATAAATAAGTAGTGACTTTCATTAGCTTTAAAAGTATGTATGCTTCAGCTTTTTTATAAGAAAAAAAGAGCTCAGAAGTTGCCAAGTACTGGATCTCTGGGGTTTTATTGTTTTGCTTTTTTGCTTTTGGGGATAATTAAAAAATTTTTTTTTCATTTTTATTGGAGGGGCTGGGGATTTAGCTCAGCGGCATAAGCACCTGCCTTGCAAGCAGGCAGTTGTGAGTTCGATCGCCGGTACCGATAAAAAGGAAAAAGACAAAAAAAACAAAAAAATTTTTATTGGTACATTTTAGACAGACACAATTATAACATTCATCATAGCATTCTCTCTTTGTCTAAAGAGAAACCCCTCTTTCCTTTATTCCTTCTCTGTGCTTCCTTTCTCCTGCATTTCTAGCCATACCTGTAAGGCTGGAGGATCTTTAGGGAGAATGTAGTTGTTTGCCTCTACTTAGATACCTCTCTCCCTCTTTTGCTAGTGTGTTTGATTACCTAACATCTGCTACAATTGAAACTCACTTCTGTTGAGACAGTCATTTTAATTGTAAATTTACAGTTCCTAGTGCTTGATATTTTTCTGTTTCTATAGGTTTGATGTGATACAAATCAGTTCTAATTCTGCAACCTGGTCAGACAGGTCAGGCAACTCTTTGTTTTTCTGACAAAATAAATATTCTCCAAATCTTCAATGCGTTAAAAGGCCCAAAGTTTTTATTCTTTTATTCCTACTTCATGATTATCTACATGTCCTTTTGGGTTCAAAGCCAGCTTCATCTCAAGCCTGCAGGCCGACAAAGGAGCCACCATCTCAGAAGTGGCAGAGAAAAAAAGGGATTTGGGACATCTCGCACAGGCAAGAAGGGTTATGTGAACATTTACTCAAAGCTCATTTACCAGAAGTAGTCATGTGACTCTAACTTAGTCACAGCATTGGAGAAGGATCAGCCAGGATGCGCCAGTATAGCTTTCCCCGTGCCCAGAATGGAGGAGAACCACATACTTGGTGAATGGCAATAATGACTGATCACACAGTCTTTCTGGAATTTAGAGCTTTGTTAGTCTTTGTGTTCCTTTCTTGGCTAGGATAAAAATTACTGCCCTTTCTCCTTATCACAGTGTGAGTTCCAAAGCTCTAAGCCATGTAGACACACTGTGGGTTTCCGGTGTTACTCTTAGGGTTAGAGACGCTGTCCAGGAGGGACACTGCATATAGTCTGGCCAGCACAGCTAGCACAAGTACTCCCTCCCCCACACCTGAAATCAGACACCGTTCAGCCTGACAGCAATCCAAGTTTGTCCACCCAGTAACGTTTTTATGAGTGTGGGTTGGAGTTGTGCAGTCATAATTTAAGTCCAGCCAGAAAACTGCTAGAGTACAGAGGCTGAAGTCTTAAGACGTGGTTTCATGCTGTCCTGACTTTCAGGAGCTGCATCACAGAGGACTGGCACGTTGCTTCGTTGTCCCCTACTTGTTCTCTGATGGCAACAGTTTTTTTCTTTCTTTTTTTTTTTTTATCGGTACCAGGGATCGAACTCACGACTGCCTGCTTGCAAGGCAGGTACTTATGCCGCTGAGCTAAATCCCCAGCCCTGATGGCAACAGTTTGACAACATGAGCACTCTTTGTGTAAAGTCTGTGTAAACTGATAATCCTAGAGTGTTACTAAGAAGCATGGTTTTGTTTTTCTTCCTCAGTTTACCACAGTTTACGGCGGTCTCAGCTAAATAGTTCCCACGTTCATGTGTATGAAGTAGTGAACGTGTGCTGAAGTCCTATAGGTGTAGACTCATCACACAGGTTACTGATACTAGACACAGTCAACTGATGTGCTGCCTCTGGTTTGCAGGTCGAGTTCTTTCTCAGTCCACCCCTGGAACGCCGTCAAAGACCATAACAATAGCTGAAAGTGGAGTTATTGGATCGGCTTTAAACTCTACAGCACAGACACCAAATAAAATCGCCATCTCACCTTTGAAATCCCCAAATAAGGTAAAAAAAGAAAAATCAGTTGCATGTGTCAAACATTTGGTTGATGCTTTTTCTTGTTACTAGTTATTTCAGATAACTCGGTTTTCTTCTGTTTCCAAGCAAGTAGTAACCGCTAGTGAATACTAAATTAATTTAGTAATTAAGGACTTTTGACAGATAAAGAACTTTAAACATGGCGACCTAGTAATTGTTTTGCATGTTAAGATGGTTTCCTTGGCCTGTATGTGTGTGGCGTCAGTAAACATTTTTTGGGTGGTATTTAGCAGAATTGTCCTTAGAGTGAGGCACATAAATAATGACTATATAAATATAAAACATTAAAGCAACTTTTAAATGGAAATTTGTGTTTGTGCTAGATAATAAGACCCAGAATACTAGAAATTGCTGTTAGGTACTGGTGACCATATAATCAGTGTTTTGGAAGCTTAAGTGAGTTTTGTTCAAAGTATTCAAAAGCTTTTCATAGTTTGTTTTCATCTTAAAATGGCAAAGTATTATTTTACTGTCAGGTTAAGTAAGTACCCTCTGACTTTCCTGAAATACACAGATGTCATTGTACTAGCATGTGAAAAGTTTTAAGGTGTATTTTAAATCATATGATGCAGTTGGAAAGCCAAACATGATTATCCTGAAAGGTGCCAGCCCTGTGACCCTTGAAACACACTGCCCTTTGTACTTGCTTTCTTCCTTGATTTACAGCTGCTCATAAATAGAGTAGACTCAATTTGCCTTACCTGTTTTAAAGGTCCAGTTGCTAGTTTCTATTTTAATGAGACTTAAATGCATGAATGTGATGTGTTTTACAGCTTAGTAAGGTGAGTATTTCCCTGCATAGTAGCACAGAGAGTTGTGTTTGTGTTTTCCTGAAATGGTATGAATTCTGCCAATACTGAGGACTTGCCATGCATAGTGACAAGCATTGGAGAGAGAGTGTGAATAAAACCAGGCTTCAGTTTCAGGGAGATCAAGAAGGGACTTAGACTGAAATGTTAAACATCACCCCACAGATGATGGCAGCCACAGGTGGACTGATGAGCTCTACATCTGACAAAGAGGCTGTTCTGGAAAGATCTTAACCTCATCTGTGGTGGGACCTAACTGAATGAGATGCAGAGGGAGCACTTGAGTCAGGTGTGTCCAGGGAGGCCCTTGGAGCAAGTCCCATTGTCTGAGATGCATGAGCACCCAGTGTGTTAGGGCTACACAGGAGCGGGGGCTGGTTATCTCATCTCGAAGGGAGTCTGACTTCTGTTGATCACAGACACTTCATGTGGCTTCCTATTGCTTCTAGGACTGTGATTCTGCTCTTATCTGTCTTGCAATCACCAGAGGAGCTGTAATAAATGCTGAGGTCTAGTTTTCATCCCCAAGATCCTGTTTCAGTCTTTCTGGATCTTGGCCTGAGGGCAAGGTTTTAAAAAGCTCCCTAGGTAGTCAAGATTGAGAGCCACTGCTGTAAGCAGGATACTTAGTTTTTACTGCACTGTGAAAGATTTTGTGGCACATGGGGGAGAACATTTAGATTAACTCTCTACCTTGAGTCCATGTTGGAAATATCTGGGGCCTCTGGGAAAAAAACTAATGGTTGGCCTCTCCCGACCCCACTGAAATCAGTCTCCACGCTGGACCTAGGTGTTTAATATTTTAAATTTATAATGCAGGGCAAGATACAGATCACTGATTTGGATATGAGACTGTTGCAGGCTTTGCCAGATTAGTGAGGACAGGGTAGGGAGGAAGAGATGTGTGAGGGAGGTTTGAAACCTAAAGGGACCTCAGAGTCTTAGGGAGAGAGTCTAAGGTGACAGTGACTGTTTCTAACTGGAGTGACAGGACCTGTGGTGGCGCTGCATCAGCCTGACAGTGGGCAGTCCCACACGTAATGCCACACTGATGGAGAGCAGCTTTGGTTTTCTCCCACCCTTGGCGCTAGCCACACCACATTGGATCTTGCTTGCTTGTTCTTGGCAGGAGTTCATTTTTAACATAAGGGCATGCCTTGCTTTGGTGACTCAGCTTCCCAGGTACAGCAAATCTAGCTCAAAGCTTACGTCCAGTTTCAAGCAGCCCTTTGCTTAGTCCAGGCCCCAAACAGCTTAGGGTCTGCAGCGGAGAAGTGCGGGACTTCTTTGTTGCTCTTCCACTCCTGTTCTGCTTTTGGGCCAGTAGGAAGGAAGAGTAGAAGAGGAAGGACAGAGCTGCACTCTGCTGTGTCTGTACGGCCTGCACCCCGTATGGGCCGTCTGTAGTGCACACACAGGACAGCTTCGTGTCCTGGGGGCCGGGGGCGCATACCCTGGCCTCTGCAGTCTCACAGAGCTGTTAATGCCTGAAGTCTGCCCTGTGTGGCTGTGCAGTGTGCTTTACTTGAGAGGGTATGTGTTTTGGCTGGGTCCTGCCCACACGCCTTGCACTCCCAACAGCACCTGTGCCAGAGGAACCCGGAGAACCTGTGCAGATGGGCAGCTTGCCTGACTGCTGTGTGCTGTCCTTTCCTGCCACTATAACAGCACCACCGTCTTCTTTCTGCAGCTTTTTCCAGGCCGGGACAGTGTCTGTGCTCACGTCTACCATGGACTGTGAAGCGGTGTGTGTCAGGTACTGCTGAGAACTCTCACTGCCTTCAGTTCTGGTGGCTGGACCTAGGCAGGTGTTCTTGAGAGTTTCCTTTCCTCTCAGTGACTCAGGTGTCACCCAGTGATTTGCTTGTCACTTTTCCCTTAGAGTTGTCACCTGGCAGGAGAAGCCCTAGGTTTGTTTTCCCTGTAGTGTGGAGCCCTACTGCCCTGGTCTTCTCTACCTTTCCAAATGCCATTCTGACTCCTAATACCAGACTGTAGGTAATAGGGAGGCCATCTTTAGTAAGTCGGCCATGGGTGTTGTGCTCTTTTTAGATTGTGGGGGAAGTTATTTGTAGTTCTCAGCTTCAGGGCTCTACTTCAGCCAAATTTGAGATAATAGAAAAATTCCCATGCTTACCTGTAGGTGACAGAGGAGGACTGTAGAAGGAATTACTAGCCTGAGCCAAAGCTGTCCAGCTGTTGGACATGTTTGTTGTTGAAGTCTCCTGATGATCTAGAGGAGGAGCTCCTTGGAAGTGCTAAGTGGGGTTCCGGGTGGGCGCACCAGGGAGCCTCAGGCTGTGGAGAGCAGGAGAAAGAGCCGTGCTGCAGGCAAACAGCGGGTGCTAGCAGGGGAGAAGGTCAGGCAGAAGAGAGGAAGCCGTAGGAGAGGGAGTGGGGAAGCCAGCAATGTAAGGCCAGAGTGTTTCAGGAAGGCGCTGGGTCAGATGTCCTAGAAGATCACTTAGGGAAGCCTGAGTCTGCTTGCGCCTACCAAGAGGCACGGAGAGGAACCCCAGCATTCGCCCCTTCTGCTCACACCACTCTCTGCGTGCCGCCATTGCCTTCAGCCTGAAGACCTCTCCAGATTGGTCCTGTGGCTGTTGGTGCCACCAGAGGCACAGGCTCCCAGATCGTCAGGGCACTCGGTGTCCATGCTCCCTGTCCACCTGTCTCCGCTTGAGCACCTTGCACTGTCTCCCCCATGCAGCTCGTAAGCAGCGTCCCACCCCATACTTGGCCTGTCCACTGATTGTTCCTTCGGCACCGGATTGAGCGAATGCCTCGCTGTCCCCAGGGACCCGTCACCCGTGGCAGACTTGGCACAGACTACTCATCACTGCGCACCAGGGGAGCCGGATAGAGGCAGCTGGTGCTCTCACTCTGCACAGGTCTGGCGTGCTCAGGCTCTTCTGGCCTTCGGATCTGACATTCGAAGGTTCACAGTTCCATGCTTTCTTAGTTTACCTGTGTCGGGACAGCTTTCTTTTGTTATATTTATTTTCTAGAATAATCTTAAACTTTTATAAGTATGTATTAGATATGCAGATAATCATTAAAGTAGTGAAAATGGAGTTCTGTTTGGTTTAGTTTCTTCTAGCCTAGGGCCGGGGGTTTAGCTCAGCAGTATAAGCACCTGCCTGGAAAGCACAAGGCCCTGAGTTCAATCCTCGTACTCCCCAAAAAAGTTTCTTCTAGCCTTATTTTTAACAATGTTATCTTGTACATATGTCCAGATCTTTGTGTATGAGTGTGTGAGGCAGGGGTGTTAGTGATCTTCCTGACTCAGCCTCCCAGAGTACTGGGATTTTAGGCAACTGCCACTATATTCTGGCCTTTAATGTAACTTTTTATCTGTTTATTTGTTTGTTTTTATTTTGTTCTGTGTGTGTGCATTTGTTTGGGATAGGGTTTCGTACGTAGCATGGGCTGGCCTTGAACTTGCTTATGTAGCCCAGGCTGGCCTCAAACTCATGATGAGTCTCTTGCCTCTGCCTCCCAAGTGCTGTGATCACAGGCATACACCACCATGACCAGTTTTTCCTCTGTAATCTTGTTATTTCCTTTTAGCATTATTTTATTCATAATATATTTGTTTATTTCAGAAATACAGTGTAGCTTAAAAGATGCGCAGAAGTTGATCTATCTAATTCATAACATTAATGTAACAGGGAAGCCAGGTGCAGTGACACATGCTTGTAATCCACAACACTGATAGGAGGGCAACCTGGGCAACATAGCAAACCCTGTGTCAGAAAAGAAAGGTTTTGGTAAGGATGTACTCTGGGTTCAATCACCAGTACCAGGAAAAGAGTCCCTGGGCCACCGATTTGTAGTGTTACTGTAGATATGGTTGATATGGTTTAACTGGATTTAGCTCTTTGTCTGCTCTTCCATGACTTTGTTCTGCCTCGCTGCTGGCTCTTGCTGGCTGCTGCAAGTCCGATGTACACGTTTTTTAGTGGCCTTTTTTTTTTTCTTTCTTTCTTTTTATCGGTACCGGGGATCGAACTCACAACCGCCTGCTTGCAAGGCAGGTACTTAGGCCGCTGAGCTAAATCCCCAGCCCCCCGATGTACACTTTTGATGAGTCACAGTCTGCTTTCCAGTTGATATCACTTCTAGGTGAAGATGATTCCAACACATGCTTCTAATTTT